ATTCCAGAAATTCGAAAATGAACCGCAGGGAAGAATGCCTCATTATCACGCGTGATATAGGGCAGTATATAAAACTGCTTATCTGATGTGAGGGGAACATCATACTTCCATTTGATTTCTGCGCGGTTGGTCTCTACGTGACATACTTAGTGGAAACCTCATAGGAAGCGGTGAGTTTGCAAAGCTGTGTTCAAAGTGATTGAAATCTTGGTTTGGAGTTTCTTTGTTTGGTTATGGAGGCGTCTGGCCGAGTAGATTGCTATCAACTTGACCTTTCCAGGCTCTGAGGAAGGCGATATCCGCCGAAACGTCAGCTTAATCGTGAACAAAGAATAATAACACCTCGCGTTTGCTCAACAAAAATGCGAAGAAAATTACTTGATCAATGCCGAGGTTAATAGAAAGTCGGTCGTGGCAGTTACAAGAAATTGACTCCGCCTGGCTACCAATACAGCAAAGTGTTATGGTTTTTCGTGCCGCTTTACTTCTTATAGTGATTAGGAAAAAGAAGAAAATAACAAAAAGAAGAACCCAAGTCACGAAGAGCTGATTGGATGATTTTCCACATATTCAATGTCTATGCATATAAATAGAGCTAGTATCGTGTGGTGGTTAACAATACCCTGTAACATACGCATGGTCGTTCGATCTTCTATCCCATGCTAACCATTCCTCCCATCCCTGCAACTTTCCTGGAGGCCAAAAACGATGACCTGACACATCGGTCGAACCTGTGAAGCCACTCTATAGGTGGCCTATTATGCAGTAAATTTTCTTCATGATGCTTAATGCAGTCGAATTTATGGAGTATCCCTGAGGGATTGCTCAATGCTAAACGCCTAGTGCGTTTGAGTAGTAGTTATGCGGGAATTTTTGCCTGAAACGGATTCAATTATTCATTTTGTTCTTTAGTGCTGTGGTTCGTTATTGGAAGCATCCGAGAACCGAGGTTCATCGATATCTCTACAGAAGATCCTCTATATACTTCACTGGATGTTACTTGATTCTGCTTCCGAATGTGCTGAAGTTTCATCAAAGGTATGTCCACATATAGCAATGGATGTAATGATTGCACCAATCCCAATTGTAAGTATGTCCAATGTGTAGCTCAACTCCTTATTTCCATAGTGTGTTTAAATTATGTCTAGTTTCAAAAAATTCGTTGTCAGAAAAATGTCTATTGGTTCGTGTGAGAAAGTTTCAGTTAGTGTTAAGTTCAGGATGAGCCAAGTCAACAAACTCGCGGACAAGGTTTATTCGCAATCTCATCGATTCAACTTTTTGTCTATCTCATTGCTCCATTAGCTGGTACGGTATCAGAAGAGGATATATCTAGTAATATAAGACTTGAGAGCGGCCTGAAAATATGGCAGGCTTTATGGCAGGTAGGCACCACGTCAGCTCTATTCTTTATTTGGTTTTTTAGTGTTGTTTCTTCTGTTGGCAATAAAAGTGACCGAGAATTTGATTGTCAAGCAGGCTAAATATGAATTTCTTTTAAAAGGCTATAACTTAGGCATGGAGTGCTAACAAATGAGAGGTGTAGGAATTGCAAGGAATTTCCGTTTTTTTTTTCTAAGGAAAAAAAGGATAAAATATTAATCTACCAGTCCTGGAGGTTTATGCATTAGTAGTGGGAAATAAATTTTTCAAATGTACGAGAATTTTTCCGGCTTACTAATTTGATTTGTACTTTTCCTCAGTACCAAGTCAAATTGGCGGAAAAACGTTCATTATGTTTCCTGAAATTACTATGTACTTTTTCGGTTTTTTGCGATTTCCCACTGTTTTTTTGTCGGATTACCTTACGACTTTTTACATCTATCGTTTGAACGTAGTAATTATATACGACAACTGCATACGAGCAGATGAGCTAACTAGAAGGGACTTCTTTTCTGCTAATGACATTGATGCGAAAAATATGCTTATCTAACACACAGAATTTTCTAGCGAGGAAGAACACGAAAGTAGAAACTTTTTTCTTGAAGTTTTCCTAATAGCAGAAAGCAAACTTTTAAGTGAAATTGGAATAATTTTAAATAATAGAATAGGAAAACACCCACATATTCCCGCGACTAAGTACGCTCACCTACCCAACAGTTATTGGAGTCTTAACCAATAAGGAAGTCTGAAGACTATGTGGGTAGAATACGATTACGATACGGAGTGGTCAGCGGAGAAGAATTAAACTATAATACAATGTTTTTCATCAATAAGCAGACACGAGGTTGTTAATATAGAATTTATTAGAACACAATTGCTGACGTTTCGGCGGTTTCGCCTTCTTCAGAGCCGTTTATTTGTCGTAAGTATTTAAGTTAGTTGGTGGATAGCCGCCGCACAGAGTAATACATGGT